TAAGAGAAATTCGATGAAGGAAATGTAAATTTTTTTTCTTTAATTGGGCGAAAAAATTTTAGATAAGGGATTAAAGATAAGAGAAGATATCTCGTGTGCCGATTCAAAGAAAAAAAAAGAATATGGAAGTACAGAAGAGGATAAATTGAAATGTTATTTCTGTGTGGCGATTAAAAAAAACAATAAAAAAGTAAAAATTAAATCAATAAATATGTGTATATAAGAATAAGGAAGTAAAGAATAGAATAAATAAATATGTTATTTCTGTGTGGCGATTCAAAAATAAGAAAAATAAGTGAAAAATAATATCAATAATTATATGATTATTGTGTGGCGACTCAAAGTAAGCAAAATGTATATATATATACATATATTATATATATATACATATTGTGGCGATTTAAAAAAGAAGAAGAAGCTGAAAAATAAAATGAAGGAAGATGTAATAATTGTTAATTGTATAGCGACAAAAAAAAAAAAAAAAAAAAAAAAAAAAAAAAAAATATATATATATATATATATATATATATATATATATATATATATATATATGTGTGTGTGTGTGTGTGTGTGTGTGTGTGTGTGTGTGTGTGTGTGTGTGTGTGTGTGTGTGTGTGTGTGTGTGTGTAAATGTATTACCATTGTCATAATCATCATTATTGTTGTAATTGTTTATCATGGTTCTTATTACTGTATTACAACTAGAATTGTTATTTCGTCGATCTGTTGCAGCTGTCAATGTTATTGCAACTGGGAAATAAGAAAGTATTTGGCAACAGCAGCGATCATAATGATAAAGATGAGAAGAATTAAGATAATAATAGTAAAGATGATAACAATATAATAGTATAATCTTCATACATAATGTCACCAATGATAATGATTTTTTGATAATGATAATAGCAACAACAAGAAAATCAGTATTAATGATAATGATTGGTAAAATAATTATGATGATAATAATTAGAATACGGATGTTAAAGATAATGAAAATAACAGCGACAACTACAGAAACGATAAATATAATGATAATAGTAAAATAATTATAAGAATGACATTAGTAATGCTGCTGCTGATGGTGATAATGATAATGATAATTGATAACAGTAATTGTAATGGTGGTAATTATAATGATAACAACAATAATAATAATAAAATCATCATCATGATAATAACAATACTGCTACTGATGATGATAATGATACTATTACAATCAAGATATAATAATGATACTGATGATGATAATTATGTTATGTAATGATGAATTATAAAGGTGATGATGATGATAATGATAATGGTGATGATGATGATGATGATGAGATGATAATGATAATATCAATCATGATGATAATAATATATCAATATATAATTATGATGACAATAATAATGATAATTACAATATTGATGATAGTAATGATAAAAACAATAATAATGATAATTTTGATTATAATAATAATGATAATGATAATGATAACAATAATAATAGTAATAATGACAGAAATGATAATGATAATGTCAGTATTGATGACAATAATAGAAATGATAATGACAACAATAATAATATGTATGATAATGATACCAATGGAAATAAAGATAGCAATAATGATAATAACAACAACGACAATAATAAATAATAATAATAATAATGACCACAATGGTAACAATAACAATGAAAAGACACAATAGAGTGTCACTTCTGATAACATGGAATAAGAATGACAATAAAGATAAAGGTAAAATAACAATAACAGAGATGAGAATATCAATAATGTTATTGTTATTGCTATCAGCATCATCACAAATATAGATAAATATTTGTAAGTTGAATTAAACATGAGTTTGGTTTATTGCTTAATTACCATGCAGTAAGTGGGTTTACATAATAATTGAATATAATGAGTGATAGATCATTGATAAAGATAGATATAAAATGAGATGGATGGATGTTTGTTTGTTGATGCTTGTAAAGTCTGAATACTTATTTAGACTTTGTGTATGTGTATGTGTATGTCTGTCATGTGAGTTTCTGTGTGTGTGTGTGTGTGTGTGTGTGTGTGTGTGTGTGTGTGTGTGTGTGTGTGTGTGTGTGTGTGTTTGTGTGTTTGTGCATGTGTTTTTGTGTGTGTGTTATTAAGTATGCGTACGTTTATATTTGTGTGCGTGTTCATTTGCATATAAGAATGTGCATGCGAATATATGTATCTTTGTGTCTGTGCATACATGTATGCGTGCTTGTTCCTGACTATGCATCTTAGTAATCGTGTCGAGAGTGTACACGCGCCTATCTACGCGATTCTAAATAAAGGGGCAAGGTTCTCAAAATAATTGGAATTACGTACCCCCCCCCTCGCCTGCTTATCTCTTTATGCATTGAAGATGGTCGTTGACAAGAACCAGGAAAGAGACACTTAACGGAGAGGAGATAAGATGCAGTAAGTAGGACGGGAAATAACGCTCGATTTACTTTATGCGTAATCATACATGGACGTGCGCTGCATACATGCATACATGCGTTCATATATATATATATATATATAATATATATATATATATATATATATATATATATATTTATATATATGTGTGTGTGTGTGTGTGTATGTGTGTGTGTGTGTGTGTGTGTGTGTGTGTGTGTGTGTGTGTGTGTGTGTGTGTGTGTGTGTGTGTGTGTGTGTGTGTGTGTCTGTGTGTGTGTGTGTGTGTGTGTGCGTGTGTGTGTGTGTGTGTGTGTGTGTGTGTGTGTGTGTGTGTGTGTGTTGTGTGTGTGTGTATGCATGTATATATATGAATATACATAGGGAGAGACAGAGAGAGAGAGAGATAGAGAGAGAAAGAGAAAGAGAGAGTTTGAAAGAGAGAATCCATCCATACATACATACAAGCGTATATGCATACATGCATACATACATTTCTATATTTACGTAAGTAAATATTGTTTTGGCGCACAACTTATAAATAACATGTACCTTAGATATAAAATTGTTTATACCCCAAAACATTCGTGTGAGAGAATTTCGTATGTCCGTGTTTATGAATATCTCCCGCGCGGACTTGTGAGATATCGCAGTTAGTTCGCCACAAACACGCTTTTCCGGGTTGCACCAGAGAGGAAAACCAGATAAAAACGGTAAAGGAAAAAATAGAATAACAATTTCCAAATACGGCATTAATGATGTGGACAGAGCTGTTTTTATACCTATATTTACGTGCATATGCTAAATATCAGTGCACAAACGCCATACATGATACGTATGTTATATATGTTCGCGCGTGCACACACACACACACACACACACACATACACACACACACACACACACACACACACACACACACAACACACACACACACACACACACCACACACACACACATCCACTCAAACACACACACTCAAACACATATACACACACACACGCACACCACATGCACAGAGTGTCCGTCTTGCAGATACCTGTCTGCAACGGCGGCGAGGGATCGAATCCCGATCGGAGAGGTTATGTGCTCATGTATATATATAAATAATGGTAATGACAATGATAATTATATAAATTATGATATTAATAGTGATAATGATGATGACATCAATAATGATAATAATGATGATGATAGTGATATGATAATAGTAATAATGAAGATAATAATAGTAATAATGATAACAATGAGAGATATAATAATAATAACAATGAGAGATATAATAATAATAACAATAATAGTAATAATAATAATAATAATAATAATAATAACAATAACCTAATCCTAATAATAACAACAATAATGATAAGAATGATAATAATAACAGTGCTAATTGATAATGATGATAAGAATAATAAAAAAATTAATGATAACAATAACAATGATGACTGAAAATGATGATAATGATAATGACAATCATAATAATGATAACGACAACAACAGTAACAATAATTATTATTGTTATAATGTTAATGATGATAGTAATAACTATTATCATTATCGTTATAATGATAATAATGATAGTAATAATGATAATATATGAGTAATGATACTGATAATATATAATAATAATGAAAATGATAATAGTGATAATATTAATAATAATAACAATAATAATAATAATAATAATAATTATTATTATTATTGTTATTATTATTATTATTACTATTACTATTATTATTATTATTATTATTATGATAATAATAATATTGATAATATATAATGATGATAGAATAGTGATAATATTAATAATGATAACAATAATGATAATAATAATAAAAATAGTGATGATAAGAATGATAATAATAATGATGTTTCTAATAATAATAACATCCATGGCAATAATAAAGTTGATAACAATAAATATGATTATGATAATAATCATAATAATAATGGTAATGACAATAATGATATAATGATGATGATAATAATGACAATGTTAATAACAAAAACATTAAATCTCTATGGAAGCCCAATGGATTTATCTACAAAAGCGCAAAAGGAGGAACACGATATTTGAAATAAGAATCTGTGGTTACATATACACCATCAGCACAGCCATGACCTATTTTGGTGTCATAACTTTGCCAAGGATGGGAGTCTCGTTATGCTGTATATTCGTACTTCTGAAGTGATTTATTTGTATGAGATATCTAATTCGCTGGATTTTCCCCATTTGTTGATTGGAAATGAAATGTTTTTGAATGGAGAAAAGGTTTTGACCCATATTGAGGGGGGGGGGGATACGAACCCAAAAAAAGAGAGAAAAAAATATTTCGGATCAAGAAATGATTCATATCCCTCTTTTTTCTGTACTGGTATTCCGAAAACAACCAGAAGAATTAATTCCTATACCATAAAAAATCAACAAACCTATCACACAACAGACATCAAATAACCGAATATGCCTCCTTAACCACAAAAACCGGAAATAATTCACCCCTTAAAAGAATCTCATATGTAGTTTTTAAAAGTCATAAATAAAAATAGAAACATATTCTAAAACTTTTTGACTCAGCGGTCTCTATCTTTTAGCGCTCTCTGACCAGCCGGTTGTTGTTTTCTTCAGTCAGCTGATTAGGAGTTTGTCTTAGAGTTTTCGTCAATTATTCGCGAATATGGCTTCTCTGCGCTGTGCAACGAGACTCGCTTCTGTATACAAGTATGTGGATATTTTAATACTTTGTACTTAGAGCTTGTCAAGATTAACATGACGGAAAACTTTAGAGATAAAGATATTAGTTTGGCTTTCTTCTGGGTAAACAAGTGTTTTAATCTCGGAATTTTACGGGTTTAATGGCTTTACATTTTGTGATCTACTTTTGTTTACACACTTCCGTGTTTTTTATTTATTTGTAATTGTTCAGAAGTTACCTGCTTTAGCTTTCGAAGAGAAATTTGTCTCTGTTTCTATTCTTTGTGTTCTATTATTTAAGCTCTATCCAAAGCCAGTCCATGCTTGCTGTGATCTATGAAAGAAATACTGTAAGTTTACAGTAACGATGCATTGCACGCTTCATTATAGGACTGCCACCCTTTATATAAAATTGGTTGATTGATAGAGCTTGGACTGGCCTCAGTTGGAAAATGTGTTGTTTTTCGCAGATGTGTCTCAGCGAGTAACAACAAAGTATGGGCTGTGCCCAGCCAGCAAAGGGCATTTATGCTACATGCGACTGTTAGTCTTACACTCTAAATAATGGTGTTCTGATGTGACTTAATAATGTGATTGTTATTCATGTTTTATGTTAGGCTGGTGTTAGGTGTATGCCAGCAGTATCAGTTTTCTTGCAATTAGGTGTATGTCACACACGCATAATCACATATAAGTGTTGTTTCTGGGTAATATAAACCTAACTGAACCTAACCTAACCTAACCAAGAGTGGCATCATCTTCTCATGTTGAGATGCCACACTCTTGTTTATTTCACTTCAGACACGCAGAACACCAATTGGGGACTTTTCTGCCATACTCGTAGTCACTTCCAGGTTTTTGAATACGGATGGACTTTTTGTTTAGTTGTGTCAGTGAAGTTGGAATTCAAGGGTAGTGGCTTACTTTTGAAACAGATTTGTTATTTATCCGCAAGAAATCCACTGATTTTTTATTTCTTGGTGTTGTTTCTTGTGCAACTGATTCATTGAGGAGATCCAAGTACCATTTCCACTGATAATCTTGATTTGTTAATCCTGATAGCAAGGGAGGGTATGAAGTAAATTGGAGAGATTATGGGATATGATAGGCTTAAATAAGAATAGAGAACAAAAATGCATAAAACTAGCACAAAAAACACTTAAAATCTGCTAATGAAACTGTTCACACATGAGCACCAAAATTCAAAATCCTCTACAGGAATCCAACCGATCTTTTGGATTTTGGATTTTGTCTACAGGAATTCACACCTTTCAGACATTAAAAAAAAAAAATGTCCTGACCCATAACCCAACCTTGCCTAACAATCTAAGGCCCGTACTTTTAAAACCTTTCGCCAGCTGTGCGAAAGGTTTCGCCGGGCGATCCGGAATTTCGTACTTTTAAAATCATGCCTGGCGAACGTTCGCCAGGGCTGGCGAAAGATCATATTGGAACAGCCTGGCGAAGAGAGCTGTTTGAATACCATTTTCTTGCTTTCAAATTATAAATTAGTAACATATTTGTGTATGATAGGATGTAGGAATCACATTGAAATTATAAAATATCTTAAAATCATAATTTGTTATGAAATAACGTATATACGTATTTTTTTCAAGACCTTCGATGTTCCAGTCGAGAGCTCAAGACATCAGCTGTATTCCTACCCCCTACCCCTACCCCCCACCCCCGAGATGACTTATTTAGATTTAGGTTGTTGTTATTTTGGTTGTAAGGATAATGTTCTTTTCACAAATATTACCAGAAGTGTTTTTTATGGCGGCATGTTTACTTTTGGCTATAGAAACATAGCTGTAGTGCTCCACCGCCCTATAATGAGGCGTCTTTAATGATACCCTTGTAGGCCTACAGTTCAATATCTTACATCAGTTAGGAATAGTAAAATAGTAATTTTTAAACTCTTGTTAAAGTATAAAGTTATTTTTTGTATAAAAGTATAAGGTTGATATAGTATAGTATAAAGTACTTTTAAAACCTTTCGCCAATGCTGGCGTTCGCCTGGCGAAGCTTCGCCAGGCGAACATCTGAGTGAGGGAGGCCTTACTTTTAAACTAAGGCAGGTGTTCGCCAGGCCTGGCGAACGAAAGGGATCGCCAGGCGCTAACATCTTGGATTCCTGATAAATCTAGCGCTTCGGCGAATGAAAAAAAACGCGAGAAAAAGCAAAAGGTTTTAAAAGTACGGGCCATAAAGTTAACCTTGTTATAGTATAAAGTGTAGTATAGCATAAAGTATAAAGTTAATTTTGTTATAGTATAAAGATATTTTCAACTTTTTTATAGCATAAAGTGAGACTATTGCGGAAATAACATTTTCGTCTTCTCTCGAGGTTAATAATTAAGTTTAGGTTATGTTATGTGCACTGCAGATGTAAACAAATTTGCGCTAGATTTAGCGGGAATGCAAGATGTTAGCGCCTGGCGAACGTTGGGTTTAAAAGTAAGGCCTCTCTCACTCAGAGGTTCGCCTGGCGAAGCTTCGCCAGGTGAACGCCAGCACTGCGAAGGTTTTAAAAGTATGGCCTAAGTTGCTGTGACTTGGTGTGCTCTTCGGGTGCTGCCCAAGGGAAGGGTTGATGGGGAGCCAACATCCCCCAGGATTCATTCTTTCCACCTCAATATGAATGGCAAGATAGATCTACATCAAATATCTTTATATCTCGGAACATCAAACTTTCCTTTACTTTCCTCCACTGTGTGGATTGCTTTCTTTCTAATCACTTTTTTTGGGATTTGGGGCACTTGATGGGGTCAGATATCAAACTGCGATGGTTATTAAAGTCTATTTTTTATAAAGATTAAAGCAGTTTTGTTACAGAAATACAGAAATACAATAATATACTCACAATTTTCAATGCAACATTGCTCAGCATCTCTCGTTTCTCCCCCAGACGAGGCATTGGGGCCGGCTTTGGTGTGGCCTCCCACCAGCTTGCTCCAGCATGGGGTGCTGCGGCAACACAAGTAAGGCTGATGAGTGCCCTCAGTCCAGAGTTCGAGTCGGCAAAGGCCAGGCTTGGGACTCTGTCGGAAGACCCAGGTAAATAGTATATTTGTTTTTATATATATATTTTATTCCTAATTTTATTAATTGAATTGATTAAGTATTAATAGTTTTTCTTTTTTTGTGCCACATCCATATCCACATCAACATCAGCAACCACATCCACATCCACATTTAACTGGTAATCCCGCTGTCTCCCACTAGGCAACGAGGCCAAGCTGAAGATCTATGCTCTGTTCAAGCAAGCCACTGTTGGGGCTGTGAATACCAAGAGGCCGGGCATGATGGACTTCGTGGGCAGGGCAAAGTGGGATGCCTGGAATAGCCTCGGCAATATGAGCCAGGAGGAAGCACAGAAGAACTACATCAACTTTGTGAATTCTCTGGCTGGGGCCGAGGTGAGTCGGTTGGCGGAATGAAGTGGTAGGTTGCGTGTAGTTGATGGTGATGGTTATTATAAGCCAAGAAAATAGGGTGAAAATGGTGTTAGGAATAATTGAGGATAATAGGAGTTATTATAATGGTGTTAGTGAGGATGATATGATAATGATGATAATTTTGGTAATGTTAGTTGTAGTAATAATGGTTGCAATAGTAAAGATTATGATATTAAAAATTAAGATAGTGATAAGGACGATGATGATGATGATAATTGTAGTAATGAAAATAACAATGGTTATATGAAAGATAATGATAATAATAGTAAAAATTATTGTAATTATAATAGTAATAATAGTGATGATGATAATTATAATAGCAATAATAACAACTAGTAGTGTTAATATTAAGTAATAGTAATAACAATAATAAGTTATTAATAATGATAATGATGGTAGCAGTAACAGTAATAGAAAAGGATATTAGTAATATCAGTTAATAGTGTTAATAAAAGTAATGATGATGATGATAATGATAATGATGGTGGTGGTGATGACAGCAGTGATGACACTAATACTAATAACAATAATAACTTCTCTTACAGGAAGAGCAAGCCAAAGCACAAGCTGAATCGGGTCAGAAATATAAGAACTTGCTAGTAACATGCGAGAATGGATTGAGGACCATCACCCTAAACCGCCCAGCCAAGATGAACGCTATCACGGTCGAGGTGAGAGTTTGATTGGTGATAAGGTTGATAACTGGATGTATTTGATTTTATGATGTGGAAACGTGACTGATTTCAGATTTCAGGCTGTTTGAGGTTTTGTCTTTGAGTGTGAGTGACTGTGGTTTTGCTTGCGTGTGAGGACATGTATGTATGTTTGGATGTATATATACCACATAGATACATTTGTATGTGATATGCGTTTGTACTCATTTGTCCACATAGTAAAAAAGTATAGAGTAATTGATAAGATTAATTACACTGCCAGTCTAGCAATGAATTCAAAACACTCACCTTACAAAGTTTGTCCTAGATGTACGAGGAATGGATTGCGGCCCTGAAAGAAGCTGCAGAAGACCCAGCCACGGTCATCACAGTGACAACAGGAGCAGGCAACTACTACTGCTCAGGCAATGACCTCTCCAACTTTGCCAACATTTCTCCAGAGAACATGCATGAACACTCGAAAAATGCAGGAGTTTTGCTCAACAGGTAAAAGCATAAGTATTGGTGTTTCTTTATTTCTGTATATGTTGTACAGTTTCATTTTCATAGCATGTATAACATTATCATCCTCTATTTATTGTAAAGGGAAGATCAGGATATTTGAAAGCCTATCAGTATCCTTTTATTTTTTGTCGTAATATGAGTAAAAGGATAGAAACTCTTTTTGAATAATGTAATTTAAAATGATATACATTTTTATATAACCCTCGTTATTTTTTATATCTTTTTATCCAAAATTCCTTGTATAATACTCTTGATCCCCTGTCCAGGTTCGTGTCGCGTTCATCTCGATTTCCCAAAGCCTCTCATCGCAGTCATCAATGGCCATGCTATTGGTGTGTCAGTTACAGTCTTGGGACTATATGATGCCGTCTATGCCACAGACAAGGTGAGTTGGTATAGCGTGGGTAAAAGCCATCATCTTGGAGTTAAAGATTTGAAGTAGAGACGTGTCACCAGTCACTAGATGTGTTCTAAAACTTGCATTTTTCCCAGGCGACTTTCAACACACCATTTAGTAACCTCGGCCAGTCTCCTGAAGGGTGCTCATCCTATACCTTCCCCAAGATCATGGGCCCTGGCAAGGCAAATGAATTGCTGCTCTTCAACAAGAAGGTGAAGTTGTTATTTGCAAATATGTAAATGGAAATTTTAGCTTTACTTTTTTTATCTTTCTTTTTACATGAAGATTGTAAGACATATTTTTAAAAATAATAAAGGTCTTTTTGATTGTCAGTTGTTCATTCTTTCTTATCTCTACTCATTTTTTTATTTATTTATTTATTTATTTTTTTTTTTTTTTTTTTATTGGAGTGAAACATCTTGCTTGTAGTGTTGAATTAGCTCACCTTTTATGGTTTATCTGAAATTAACTTTTCAACTAGATCTTTTTTCAGGAATAATTCAAATATAATATTGGTTTGGAAATTTTGTTAATTAATTCTAACTCATTAACACCAAGAGTTCAAGTATTCATGCCCTGTTCCCTATGATTTTAGTTTATTGATTCTTTTTAGACATAAATGGGCCCTCAAGTGCCTATTTACCAAGTAGTCAATACTAGGTCTACTATGGTCTCCCCTGTTAGCCCTGTTCCTTGAGTTGGATAAAGAAAAGTTTTTACTTTGTTTTTATTGATGATGTTGATATGATATGATAATAGGAAAGATAATAATGATGAATATAAATGATGATGATAGTAATAGTATTAGAAATCACTTTCTTACCTGAAAATTTAAAGCATTGGGTAAGTAGAGGTTTAGTTAGGCCTAATAATTCACTCATTTGTGACTAAATGTTTGTGAGGCCATCAGTGTGTTAATAAAATAAAACTACAGTTGACAATGCATTAAGCTGGCATCAATGGGTTAAATATGCCACATTCATTTTATAAAAATATTTCAATTTGACAGGACTCAACATGAGATCTCTCCCCCCACAGATTACTGCCCACCAGGCTTGCGACTTAGGGCTGGTTACGGAGGTGTTCCCTGATGCTAGCCTGCAACAGGAGATCTGGCCTAGATTGCAGGCCTATGCAAAACTGCCTGTCAAGTCTTTGGTTTATTCAAAGGCCTTGACACGTGATATCGAAAAGGATTTGCTCCACAAGGTCAGTAGAGTATAGGTCTATGTGATTTTTGTGGATAGATAGATAGATAGATTGTTTGAATTATAGGCTCATGGAGAATGGTAGATGGAGATAAAAATTGATTAAAAGGTTTGATAAGGTCATGTATAAAGGTAGATTGATTAGGTGATTGAATTTTAAGTTCATGTAGAAAATTAGGGTAGAGGTTGAAGACCGCGACGCGCGTAGATAGAGGAAAATGGACACCGCCATCTTATAGAGCGGGAAAAATAGAAGGGGATAGCGTATAGTTTAAGATGCACCGGCCTTATAGTCACCGCTAAATGACGAAAATATAACGCGCGGCCGCCTTTCAAATTCAAAGTCGATGAGCTTGTTTACCTTGCTAGGAAAAACACGACACTGACCCACGAACGCATTTTTGCGTTCGCGAACTAGTCCGTGTATCATTACGCGCTTGTCAAAACGATATTTGGCTAATTATCTGTGTCTGCTGGTACGCATTTATACCTTTAAAGTCTTTTAGTAATGTTATTATACTTCAATTGCATATTTTTATATTTATCTATACCCTCATATCGAATCCTGCGCATCGAGTGTTTCACACTTTCTTGCGCCAGCCACAGGTTGACAGCTCACCAACCCGCTCATTTCGAGATTGAAAGCCGGTGAGAAATGTTGCGTTTCCAGTGTTGTGTTGATTCTGGGTTCTTTTTAAGACCTTTACAGTGGCATCGAAGAATAATTCGACTTCAGTAACCATCCCAGTTTTATATCTGAGCCCATCAAGAGCTCCAAAGGACGAAAAAGGTGATTAAAATCGAAGCAATCCAACAGTACAAAGAAACGAAAGTTTCACGTTTCCGGATATAAAGGTATTTGGTTTATTATTTTACGGTGTGAATGCAGCTCTGTCTTGCCGTACATACCGTGGTGGAGAGAATGTGTCCTGGGGGGTGTTGGGGGGCTTGCCCCCCATCAACCCTCCCTCGGGCAGTGCCCGAAGGGCACGCCTAGTCACGGCAATTTATATTGATATATTAGGTTGGTTGGTTTATTGGTCAATACGTTTTTGGGGTTGGAACGTGTGAATTCCCGTAGATTTTTTGCCGAAATGTGGGTTGGGTTCCCGTAGAGTTTTTTTTATTTCGCGTCAGTCCGTAAACTTTCAAAGATGGCGGTTACATCCGTAGAGTTTCATTGGCCGATTTTAAGCGCTTTTTGTGCTAGTTTTACGCATTTTTGATCGTTATTCTTCTTATTTAAGCTTGTTTTACCCCATAATTTCCCTGATATACTTCATGCCCTCCCCTGCTAACGGGACTATCAAATCAAGATCGTCGATGGAGAAATGGTACTCGATCTCCTGAACGATTCATTCGCAAAAGAAACAACGCCGAAAATCGATGAAATCATAGGATTTCATGCAGAAAAACATCATTTTTTTCGACTTAGTCTCTGCGAGGGTGCGTCGCGGTCTTCAACAATTACTAAAATTAGAATAGGGGTAAACAGTTTCAGAAAGTGACATGAGCTTCAGGTATTCATGCAAATTTTATTTATGCTTGGTTTCTGATTGGTTGGTGGCATTTGTGTTAGTTGAAAAAGGAATTTCACGTGCATTATACACTATAAATTTTGGCCGTCTGCTGTCTTGTACAATATCCTGGCCAAACTTGCCCTCCTGTCATAAAATGGGGTTTTCAGTTTTTTTCATAGGGTAATGTGGGAAATCTGGTTCATGTTAAAAAGTGTCGCATAAATGCAGATAAATATATATATTGCATAAGGAGATGGAAAAGTAGAGCGCTAAGTATTTGAAAGGTAAATTTATAATGAAAAGAAAAGGAAAAATGTGGATATATGAAAGTATAGGAAAATGTGGGTATATGAAAGATTTATAAACATAAAAATGGTTTCACACAAGTAAGTATCTATATTGATAGGTAATGCAGTAGATAGATAGATATTAATAAGCAGACTCCTAGTTCTAATTTCTATAATTTTCTTCCTTGGTATACATAAATCCTAATAAATTCAGTTTTTGTTTAAATTTTTTCTTTTGGTAAAATGGGTGAATCATACACAAAACCCAATAATTTAGTTATAAAAAAAAACAAAAAAAAAAAAAAATTAAATTCAGTTTTTTTATATTTCTCCCAATTCTACACAACCCAATAAATTCAGTTTTTATGCAAATATTTTTTTTCTCCCCCCCCTCCCAGTCGTACATGAAACCCAATAAATTCAGATTTTATATATACATTTTTTTCTTCTCTCTACGTTTCCTTGACACAGGTGAATGACATGGAATGCGACCGGCTGGTTGAGCGCTGGACCTCAGATGATTGCATTAAGGCCATCATGAACTTCTTCAGCCGCAAGAAGTAAATCAGTTGATTCCGAACACTTGCTTTCCACTAGTGCTGTGGTTTCCTTTTTCATATGATTATTTGTTTGTTTATATTTTTATTTTTGTATATCTAAATGATGGAAATATCTTCACTGGTATGTATATATGCAGTGGATGTGAAAAATCATGTAGTTTTGAATTGAATGTTATTACTATTATTGTTATTTTCATTATCATTATCCCTTTTCTGTATTTCTATTTATTTTATTTTTTCTGAAAGTACAATTTGAAAATTACCTCTTCAGACTAAGGTTAAGTTATAAGAACAATATCAGAAATTCTGTATGTATATATTTTCCCGGTGCTTTTTAAAAAGTTATCATAATTTTTAGCAATGTAGTTATTGAACAGTCATTATTGTTATTATTGACTTACCAGCAAATGTGCCTATTCTTCCGACTTTCTGTACCAAATTATGATTATTAATGTATATCCACACATCTTAAAATGATAAAAGAATCTTTGTTATTGGTATAGGTCAATATAAAAACTGAGTGAAAGAAATCTGAGAACCTTTTAAAAATGCAGAAGGAAGCATTATTAGAAATCTTATTTTAAAACACTCATGTTATATAAGGAAAAAAGTTAATAATCTTATCAGAATAGAAGCTTTTTTGCATTTATAGAAGGGAGATGTGCAGTATTAAAAGTCATATTATATATTTATTCTGCTTTACATTTAGTCACAATAAAATCCAGCTTAGAGAAATTAAATATATCCTAAGATATAGATGAAATATTTTAAACTACTTTATTTGTATGGCATGTACCTTTTCACAGGCAATTATCAATGCAACTTCTTGTTAAAGCAAATATCAATGCAATTAAGTGTAAATAAACCTCTTAATAACAATATATATTTTGGCAAATGTTCGTATTTCTTGTTATTTATTAACCTAAAGTATTATTGGTCAGTAGTGAATGAATTTAAATGAATTTAAAGCTACTTCATTACATAATGCATTTTTCTTTCAATTGCAAGTTTTATAAAATTCTAATTTGTTGGTCCATTGGCACCAGGAATGCTTGTGTACATGTGCTAGTGTTTTTTATTTATTTTTATTTTTTTCACAAAGACGGGTCCACAAACAGTCAGCGAAGAGTCAATTACTAGACCTAGCTGACCTAACCTATTTATCCTATATCAATGGATATCATTATTGATAATGTTGCAATAACAGTGCTTCTAATGATGATAGATGTTTTGAACAATACTGATAGCAATAGAAATACAAACATATAACAAATACATAAGACAAGGTAAACAGGTGAGATTGGGTAACCGTAGTTACTGACTCTTTGCTGACTTAAAGTGCCTGTGAAAGCATCTATGTAAACAAAACTGATAAAAGAAAATGCCGTGTTCGTGCCAGTGGATTTAAGAGACCAAGAAGTTTATAAAACATATAGATTGCTGATTAGAGCCGCTAAAGTGGACGTGTCTCACTGTATATGAAATCTTTAATTGTATTTATTTTGTTAATAATTTTTCTCCAAGTTTTGCAGTTACGCAACTAATACCTAGGTAATGTCATAAATGAAATTATAGCTATTGCATCCACATGTTTTATAATTCTCTTTTTTGTTATAGACTGACATTTGAATTCATGGAGTAAAAAAAAAAAAAAAGGTGAAAACTGTTAGGTATCTTGTTTTCATGAATGTAATACTTTTCTTTCATCCTCTTCCCTCCCACTCGTTCTCTCCTCTTCCTTCATTCCCTCCTCTCCCCCTTCCCTTCCCCCTCTCCCTCCCTCTCCCCCTCCCTCCCCCTCTCCTCCCCTTCCCTCCCCTCTCCTCTCCCTCTCTCTCCCTCCCTCTCCCTCTCCCTCTCTCTCCTCCCTCCTCCCTCTCCCTCCCTCTCCCTCCCTCTCCCTCTCTCTCCCTCTCTCTCTCTCTCTCTCTCTCTCTCCCCCTCTCTCCCTCTCTCTCTCTCTCTCTCTCCTCTCTCTCTCTCTCTCTCATCCTCTCTCTCTCCTCTCTCTCTCTCTCTCTCTCTTCCTCTCTCTCTCTCTCTCTCTCTCTCCTCTCTCTCTCTCTCTCTCTCCTCTCCTCGCTCTCTCTCTCCTCTCTCTCTCCCCTCTCTCCCTCTCTCTCTCCCTCTCTCTCTCTCCCTCTCT